ACAAAAAATTTTTTGTATTCTTAATAATGCTTACATATTTCTTAAATTTGCTTTTGAATAACAGGCTAATGCCGCCTGATTTTCGGCATGCCCGGTTAGTAACTGGTTTGGCTGTTTCAGAAATAATAGCCTCAAATCCTGGAATGTTTAAACATGTGTTTGTCCATGTTTCAGTTATAAATATGAAATCGATCTTAGAAATACAATCAATAAAGTCCTTGTTTTTGTTTTATCTCCAAGGACGCTATTGAATATACCATTAATATTCCAAGTGCTAAATTAAATTCCTGTGCTCATTTTAGACATATCTAATAATTTGATAGAGAATGCTGGAAGTAATTCTTTTGGGGGGAAAAAAAACCCAATCTTTTGTTTAATAGCAAAATTATGCATGATATAATTTGAAAGGAGAATGGTTCTAGTATTATATTAATTAAATAAAATAGTGATAGTATGGGTTAAAGACTTACAGTTTATTATATGCTAAGGCATCCATAGAGTTGTCTTATCAGGCCAACCAGTTGAGGTGGTAGAGGGTTTATTCGGTTATCTTGGCGAAATGAGGGAGGGGGGTGGTCCGGTTCCTTTGTTGATATGTTGAGTGTTGATACGATGTTGGTATGATGGGGGTGAACTTGGTGTTGGTATGATGGGGGTGAACGGTGGGTATATGTTGTTGCGGCCAAATTGGAAAGGTTGTGTTCTCACATGTTGTGGGAAGTTGTGGATATCTCTTGGGGGATATTTTTTGTTCATTTCCTTCGTTTTAGGTGTGGTGTTAAAGTAAGCCGCTTTAATGTTTTTGCAAATTTTTTAACACCCCTTTCGTTCAAGTGCTTCTTGTCGTGTAGGTCAGCACTAGATATATTGGTATGCTGGATATAAGTGGTTTTGTTTTGGAGGAAAGTCTGGTTTTAAGTTCTTCATTAATCGTTGGTACTTTGTTGTTAAGTTCATCCTTTCTTGATAATAATGAGGATACTAGAATTCTGCAGTTTGGATGTTTTTGTTTCGCTAAATCCACAATTTCTAGGGTTTCGGTTAGTGTTTTTTCCGGGTTGTTCGATATCATTAGTCCCGCAGTGGATAATAAGGTTTTTGGGGTTACTGAAGTTGAAGGATTCCATTTTTTGCCTTGGGAGAGAGTTGGGGATCGGATGTATTTTGTTGTTGAGTCAGGACAAAGTTCTTTAGGTTTCAGGTATCGACCATTGCTGTCACATATGATGATGGTTTCTGCGTCGATTGACTTTTGGTGGTCAGTTTTAGTTTCGGGTTGTGCACTTGTGTTTGGTTGGACAGTGGGAGGGAGGGTCTTGCTGAATATTGTCATTCTGTTCGACTCCATCTTCTACGTTTTCTTCCTTGTTTCCTTTGGACTTCAACTCTACATGTTCATTTGTGTTATCACCTTTATTTGCTGCATCATCAGTTAGAAGATCAAAGGTGTTGGATGTTGGGATACTATATTCTTCTGTGGTGTTGGGTGGTGGTGGAGACATTGAGGCCCATGTGCACTTTTCTGCACAAGATTCACTTTGGATTTTGTGTACAGATTGTTGTAAATTAGAGTTTTTCTCTTCAATTCTCTGACATCTTTTATTAAGAGCATTTATATTTTCTTCCATTTGTAATAGTTTCAATGTCAGATCACTGATGATTTGTTGTTCTCCTTTTCTGTGTTTTTTAAAGACACAATTTCTTTGTCTTTCGTTTCAATAGACTGCGAAAGTTCAGAGATTGTTTGTTTAGTATTTTCTCTATGTAAGACAAATTCTGCTTCGATATTAGCCAGTTGTATTCTCATCTGGGAAAATGTCTTATCACAAGGAGTGTTTGGGGTTGTACTTTCTTCAGACAACGCTTGGTTTGTTTTTCCAGTGGTTGAAGGTCGATCTTATCCTCCTTTAGAATGCTTTCCACGAAGGGTTTTATATTGTCGACTTTCCACGTGTTCTGTGGTGAGTTTACCATGGCAAGCAGTTGATCGAATTCCTTCGCTCCCCATTCTTTGTAGAATCTATCTTGAGCTTTAATACGACCAGCAGTAACATTGACTGTAATGGTTAGAACATTTTCATTCTCTTTTGTGTGACAACTGAGCGAGATTTTATCGCATTTTGACAGATTATCTTGATTTTCTTGCTCAAGCCATCGAGTGTTGATTTTCGTATTATTGATTCCGCCATTTTCGTGGTATCGGCAGAATAGAGCCTTAATCCATATTGGAAGGTGTTTTTCCGTGGTTGAAAAATCTACATGACTTGATTTGTAGATATTGTAGTCGATTTCCTCATAAGGTACTCGCTTAGCATTCGTATTTTTGAAGTTTTCAAATCTTGTATCGCTCTAGTGACGCATCGATTGTTGTTTTCATTGATACTTCGCCTTCGGTCATCATATTTCTAAATAATATATCTTAGTTCCTGCTACAAGCAACTAAAAAAACGTTTCAATGTGTTCAGTATTCTTTTATTTGTTTAAGAAGATGTTATTCCAGCAAACTCTATCAGTATTCGTTTAGAAATCAGTATTTTTCATTGAGCACATCGTAGCATGTGGGACTCCACTGGAAGTTCTTTTGACAGTATCTACCCTCAGTTGTATCTACACATACACAGCAAAAAACACCCAGCCTGTAACAATGTTGTTGAAGACAGGCATAAATACCATAAGCATAGCAAACCAGAAAAGTGTTAGAAATTCAGATAGTATATCATATTTTACAAACATAGCAGTTCAAAATGTAAACAAAGTGTTTGTTTACATAATACAGACTTGACCACCTCTTTAACAAAATTAAATAATAAAAACTTCACCTCTTCATAACACAGTCAAGGTAATTTGAATCAAGAAGTTCTGCGAAGAGCTTGGTGCCCCAAATGTTGTCAATTATTTTGACAAGAAATATTGATACTCAGACTGATTCAATATTCTGTTATTTTCAAAATGTAACTGCAAAAACAGAAGAAAAGTTCGTTGTACTGTTTTATCACTCTTACACAGTTACATTTGAATGCTAACCCCATAACAAACATGATTCTAATAATGGCTGTTAATAATAAAGGCCACATAAGAAATTAGTTCTTTAATTTGCTGAAATGTGGGTAGCAGATTTATCACAGGTGGCCCAGGCTCTGTGTGGATATTTATTTATTTATTATTTTATTATATTTCACATTACCAATTTACTTTAAATCATGAAGAATAATTGACTTAGTTACCTTTATGTATTCTATGTGATTTAGCAGTGATTTTAGTTTGATATGATATAAAAACATCATGGGAATGCAATATACACTTTATATATTGTAAAATACTGTTAAAAATGCCTAAATGCGCACTGATTCCAAATATTGGTGGACTTACTTGTTTACTGTGTCATGAAAATTGATTAGTGGTTGCCTAGATAAAAATATTGGAAACTAAGTTATACTTAATTTAAAGTAATTTTTTATGCAAAAATATAAAATAAATAAATATCCACACAAAGCTTGGGCCACCTGTGGGTTTTTTAAGTGGCCTAATGGAAACCAGTGTGTAAATTGAAAACACTGAGCCAGAATTTCTATTATTGTAAATTTGTTGTCAAAAAGTTTTTTTGAAACGTTTCAACCAAAATCTCAGTTGTTCTTAATTGTCAATATATTAAATATTTGGTCAAAGTATATAAGGGTTTTCAGAGGTGTGTGTGTGTGTGTGACATTGAATATAATGCACACTACAACAATTTTCTCAAAATCACATCCGGATTTCTAGATATTCAACGAGTAAGTACATTGTTTTATTATAAAAATTGAGTTTGAATTTTTTTTTTAATTAATTAAATGCATCTATCCTTATAAATCATGCAGTACAGTATAGGGGAGGACAGTGATTGCCAGTATAATCGTGGGATCCTTTGAAGTTTCTGTCCACATTACAGAAAAATCACATTATGCATGTTGCTCAGCCAGTAAACTGCATGTTCTGGCCAATAAGCATGCTGAACTGGCTCGTCCTAGCCAGTAAACTGTACATTTTTGCATAAAAATACAAGGACATGTTGTACCCCAAAAGCCCCGTTTACACGAGCAAATTCTATTTGACAAATTTAATATGACAAATGCATCTAGCATGTTAGCTTTTGTTCAAATGCATTTGTCACAATAAATTTGTCACAAATGTATCATTTACACAAGCAAAATATCTTTGACATATGAAATATGTCAAATAAAATTTGCCGGTGTAAACAGGGCTGAAGTGGCAGTACTCTCCTTCCCTATGCTGTGTTGTTGTGATGATTTTTATCGATATTCTATGTCTTCTTTCTTCGGCTAGCCAGCAGCGCTTGATTTTCCACGTAGTATAAAAAATATAATAGCTTCGTATCTTGTCTTTGGTGTTTCTATCCTGCTTTTGATATGAACAGCCTCATCAACTAGGCACACTTCATCGCCTTCCTGGTTTACTTCAATGATACCGTTGCTTTTCCACTACAGCTCAACTTTAACATTGGCCATAACCATAGTATCCAGTTTTATCAATCACAACAGCAACAGGTTTCATTTCGTATATAATATCCTTTTAAAAGTTTAGGAACTCCTTCCTTGCTTGTCCTGTCTTCCTCTGCCTCACTTTGAACTCTGGGCTCGACTTATATATCCATTAATTTACATTCACATTAACATATAATTAGAATACAGCTATTGTTTCTTATTTCTCGCATCACAGTCCTGTAGACTTGAACATGCAAAGCACTATGATGGTTGGGTTTGACATGCACAAAGCACATGGTTTTAACAAATGTATTGTTTATATGTAAATTATGTACTGTAATAGCAGAAGAATTTTATTCGCACCAGTCAAAAATACATTAGAAATTTTTCCACACATTATTAAGACAAAGTTAGCACATCAACTCAAATACCTTCTGAAGTAGCTTTAACACTAATCGGCGAAGAGCTTGGTGCCCCAAATGTTGTCAATTCTTTTGGTTTTGACAAGAAATATTGATACTCAGACTGATTCAATATTCTGTTATTTTCAAAATGTAACTGCAAAAACAGAAGAAAAGTTTAGATCTGTTGTAATGTTTTATCACCCTTACACAGTTACATCTGAATGCTAACCCCATAATATTAATAAAGGCCACATAAAAAATTAGTTAGTCCTTTAATTTGCTGAAATGTGGGTTATAAAAACTATAAATATTTATAGCCTTTAAACCGCATAAAAATGTTAGTTGTACTTGTTGTGTCTTGACATGATGAAGATGATGTATTTCTTTCCATTTTGGTTTGTTTGGGCAAATAAAACAATGATTTAATGATCGATCTGGTGAACCCACGCTGCCAAAACTAACCAACAAGTGAACCAGGTGGATAGGTGATGCAAATGAAACAGCAATTCAGTGAACACGCACACATCACCAACAACAAATTCAGTGAACATTATATAATTGTTCATCCTAATTAGTATGATTATATAATGGTTCATCCTAATTAGTATTCTTTTGTAGTTGTTTGTTTGTTTGTTTTGTTTGTTTGTTTGTTTGTTTTGTAGTCGTATTTTAAGCTATTCAAAACACTCGTTGTCGTGTTTTATCAAACATAAAATGCTCGGCTGTGCCTCACGTTTTATATCTGATAAAACACTCCTACTCGTGTTTTAAATAGTACTTAGCGATCTACAAAACATGTAAAACAGCCAGCTTTATAGGTACTATATTTTAGAATTTAGATTTGTGATGCCAAGTGAAATTAGTCTATAGTTAAACTGAAGCCGCATGTGTCAGATTTATTTTGTCAGTGACTTGAACAGAACAAAGTCAAACACTAACAGTGTACAGGCCACTTGAAATTAATTTCAAGAAAAACAAATGACAATATTCAAAATAATGCTTGGCTCGCAGTTACTTTCTGCTTTTCTTCCCCTCGTGATCCATGTTTTTTTTTTTTACTTGCTAATTCGAACTATCTGTTTCAACCACTGTCCGATATTTATTTTTTCAGTTTCATTGCAAACTACTGCACATACTTCTTAAAGTTTTGTCAACTCGCGATCAACATTTTAAAGTTGCGATCTACCTTTCATATTTCGGCCTGAAAATTTTGGGATCTATGTTTTTCATGTAACTCATGATCTGTCAGTTTAGTTCATTTTCCGCTCACATTCCTCACAATCTATTTCTTTGTTACTAAAAACTTAGTCATGCGAGTTCTGATGTAAATACTGCATTCTGATTGACTACATCTCTTTGTTGCGAATCACAAATAAATAGTACAAAAATTTTAAAATGTTGTTTTCTTACTGGTTTGTACTAATTTAAAAACAGTTAAATTATCAACAATTGGATACCTCAGATACCTTCGGCACCTTGGATACCTCAGATCCCTCAGCTGTACTTTACAGTATATTATACTACCCAAGATTATGTTAGATTAACTCTTTCGTTTGGTGCTGAAATAACCAGGTCGAAACCGACCTGGTATTTTGCAGGTTCATATCTTTGGTTCATTGCATACTAAGTAGATGAAAATAACACCATTCGACTCGGTGAAAAAATTCCTATTGATAGATATAATAAAATGTCAACATTATAGCGATTTACGACCTTTATATTTCAAGCAATATCAAATTTCATTAGATTACACAATATTCCCGAAAAATGTAAACAATGTAATAAAATGTATCACAAAGGCATACCTTTCGCCGAACATAAATTTGACCCCTTTAAAGATATCTTTTTCGTAAAAAATCTTGTTCTAATCACAAACCAAAACACTATTTAGAATGTTATTTTCAAGCTTGTATCTACAGATTTGCATGTTTTATTTCGGTATTTCAAAATACCTAAATTTTACACGAGAGCTTTGACGGCAGTTCAACCGGAAATACACTTTAGATCTGCCAAAACATTGTGTTGTTAAATCGTATCGATCTGGAAACGTTCCTTATCGGCCAATTTTAGCGTGTGGTGGGCGCATGTGAGTAAAAACCCCGATATTTTGAAAAATTCAAAATAAATATATTTCTACTGGCCGTATTCAAACAAAATGCTTCAAGGTCATTTTTAGGGTGCCTATTCATTACTCCACATATAATATTGTGATGCAGATCACTCTGCATCTCAATCCATAGTGATTCACATTCAATTGATGAACATAATATATCTGATCTTAAGAATAGCTTAAATGATCATTGATATAGAAACCAGTGCCACCAGCATTTGATAAGCTGGGTTGTGAAATGAAGGTATAGCCAGGCAAGTTATTATTACATATTTGTTCACTATCTATTTTATACTTTGTTTCAGTAAGACCAATACTAGTAGTGTGTTCAAGTTCATCAAGCCTATGTGCAAAGTTCTCATAGTTGGCTGCCAGGCTTCCAATATTGCAATCATTAGCAGAAATATGGGACAAGATGGAGACGGACATGCACACATTGCCCCAATATGGGCGACTAAATATTACTATAAACTATACAGGGATTTACAAAAATGTAATTTAACCTACTTTGTTTAGATATCTCATGGTTGCGATAATAACAACAGCACGAACAAGCAGTATTTGTAAACCATAATCGCTAGCATTTGTCCACGTCTAGGTGGTTCCCATGATCAATGTATTTTCACTAGAAATTCGAAGTATTTGATAGTGTAATCTATAGTAATCTTGCCACACATGAGGTAAAACTCCGCCAAATGTAAATTATGTTGACTTATTTAATTTAACTGTGCCTGACAAATGGCTTGCTTTAAAACCTGATAACAAATGTATCGAAGAACTACTTTGTAAGGAATGCAGTGCTGTGAGTGTTGCATGTCAAAACACTAAATGGAGAAAGAGAAAACTGCTGGATGACAAAGTGTATAAACGAGGAATTTAAGGAGTTTTACTCTTTATCAATTGGCAATAAATTTCATATTTTTCATTCAATTGCTTCTGATGTAAATATCTCAACGAATATTTACCCCCCTTTAAAACGGAAACCAACGGCTGAAATCCTCATAAAATAACCTTTCGAATGGGGGGTGAAATGCCGTCATAACATTACACAAACCAAAACAATTGTGTATTTTACTCACCGCTTGGCCAAATATTCTGTATTTCATATCGAGAAAATCTTGAATATCTCTTAAATTCCTCGGAATTCCCCACAAGTCAATCTGAGTGAAATACTCCTTGTATTCAAGCGCTTTCGTGTGGAAAATTTCATTTGAATACGGCCAGTAGAAATATATTTAATAATTTCTTTGTATGTTTGCATGGCGATAAAACATATAATAGTTTTGTTTGTGGAAACACTACATAAACTTATTACTGCAAAGCTTTCGATCCGTAAGCCCGGATCTTCATCAGTGCTAATAACACAAAATAGGAAAGTACAGCAGAAAATCCTGGTTATAATTTATCTGGTTATAATTCTATTCCTGGTTATAATTTATTCCGCAGGGACCGAATTGAAACGTCTGGTGGTGGGTAATTCAGCCAATGATAATCACCTATTTGATCACAAGATGCCATTTGGATACTTGATGAAAGTCACTTGTGTTTTCATCAAATATCTTAATTACGCATGCAAAAATTACTTGAATAGAATTCCTAATTATGTTATGCTTGGTTAAGAATTATATTCAAATCAGCAAACAAGAACATTCTGTTACGTCTCGATTCATTTGAGAAGCCATATAAACAACTCGAGCTCGTGTCTCACCGGGATATCCAAACACTCGAAAACAATGTATGAAAACACTCGCGCTTTGCGCTCGTAAAGCGCTCGTGTTCTCATACATTGTTTTCTCGTGTTTGGATATCCCGGTAACACTCGCTCTCGTTGTTCATATATTACATCCTACTACACGAACTAGAGAACCTACAAGTTCATCCTGCACTTTTGAATTGGATTGCAGCCTTTCTAACCAACCGTATGCAGGCTGTTAAAATTGATGGAGTTCTATCAGACTGGAAATCAGTGAAGGGTGGGGTTCCTCAAGGAACTAAACTAGGCGTAATTCTCTTTATTGTCATGACAAACAAATTGTTCTGGGAATGGAATCTTCGGACTAAATTTGTCGATGACACATCCGTACTGGAGATTATTCCAAGAAATTCCATTAGCGTCCTAAACAATGCTGCTGCTGACATACATAATTTTGCCATAGAGCAAAATATGAAGCTAAATCCTACCAAATGCAAAGAAATGCTTATTAACTTCCTACGCAATCCAAACGTTCTGATTAAACCTATACAAATAGGTAACTACGTTATAGAACAAGTGAAGACTTATAAGATGCTAGGTGTGATCATGAGTAGTGATCTAAAGTGGAACTGTCATGTCGACCACATTACCAAGAAAGCCAGTAAGAAACTATATTCGCTAAGGGTACTGCGTAGAGCTGGAGTCGAAAATGATAATATCTTAAAAGTTTATTTAACTACAGTACGACCAGTCCTGGAATACGCCGTACCGGTATGGCAAGCCATCCCGGACTATTTGTCTGAGGCAATCGAAGTCGTGCAAAAGAGATCACTTAAAATTATCTATCCTGAGTGTGATTCGTACACAGACGCACTAAATCTAGCCGACACTCCCACACTCAAGAGTAGAAGAAATCTATTGTGTGAGAAATATATGGACAAAATGAAATCTAAAGACCATCCCCTACATAATCTACTTCCAAAACCGGTCGTCTTTGAGAATCAGCGTAATCTGAGAAGGAAATCAGAACAATTTTACCTATTTAAAAATAATACGAAGTTTTTGGTTGCGAAATGTTGTAAAATGTAGAAAATATAGCCTTGCGAAGTTTGCATATTTTCAGTATATTTGTATTACGTGCGGAAATTGTTACCATTTTTGAGCCGAAAATTGTAACAATTTCCGCACGTAATACAAATATACTGAAAATATGCAAACTTCGCAAGGCTATATTTTCTGCATTTTACAACATTTCGCAACCAAATTTTGCAATTTTACTAATGTAGTTTAGGTCTGGACCTGTATATGAGTTTGTATGCATTTCATTTAGGACAGATAATCTCAACTGTTTTAGGGCAAGTTGACCATGACGGTCAACATGGTAACGCTGCCCGAACCCCAATCCGGGACGAAACGTCCGAAACTGACCACACCCCAAAACGACGCTTTCGCCATAGTGCTATCAACCAAACCATAAAAGCTTTGGCTATTCTGAGGTGCTTATATGTTTCAGAGATGGTGGTTTTAGGGGTGGTCCTTGGTAAGTGTGAAATGCCTAGCACTGATATTTCACAAGAAAATGACCATGCAATAATTGACCCATAGTCAAACGTCAATTTGTGGCTTACAACTTCAAATAAACAGCAGTGGATCTACATTACCTTTTTTTAGTGTAACATGCAAGTTGTCATTAGCTTTGAAGCAATTTTTGTTTGAAGAAATGAGAATAATTTTTTCACTATGGGAAATCGTGAAATATAAGTTTGCTTTGAATGTTTGATGTTTATAACTTAGTTTGCCTAAAACATGAACTGTTTTCCTTTCCAACGAAGCTGTTATTTTCCTAATTACCCGGTAGCAAATTGATTTGAACGCGGAACTGAAATTACTCAACAATTTGAACTTATTATGTTTTATTAAGTAAAAAAAGTTTATCGGCAAATGTAGTTTTAATAGTTCAATGAACATTTCAAAACATTTTACCAAGCGTTTCAAGTTAAATTTCACATTAGATCAAAGCTCACAAAATGCAAAATAACATACCTACAGTGTATATTTCAGAAATTCATTGTTGTATTTAATTAAAAGTACATTACTTTCAACTATTTTGCCGTTTTGTACAAAAAAATATTAAAAAATTAAAAAGTTAAAAATATTGTGTTGTCAGCTGTCATGGCAACATTTAACGGCACCACTCGAACCTGCGTTCAGTGTTGACCATTTCCCAGGCGAGGGGTGGTGCATGCATGTATTTCTAGTTATGTATATTATATTTCCCCAAGGTTGGCCAATATAGGCTACAGAAAATGTAAACAAACAAGAAATGTATGATTTGAAATGCATATTAGTAGTGTGATACACATTTGGTCGAAGAAAACAAAAAATACCAATGTATTCCTTCTTTTCCACTATTAAAAACCATTCGCAGATATCTTATTAATAACAAATTAATTTGTAATTTTCAATTAGTTTTGCTGTTTTGTTTTAAAATGCATGCGTTTGTTTTTACATAAGCTTCTCAGCCAATCCGTCATTTCACCAGAAGTGATGCTTGCCATATAATAATAATATTTAGGGTATAATAAACCTTATGGCTTGGCCGGAGGTTTGGCCCTCCGGTTCCACCATGCACCTGTGGATTCTTTATATGTGAGTGGTTCAAGTAAAAACGAAACGTTATGTACAGCTTACGGAAAATGACTTTTTTAGTATTTTATAACCAACATAATACCGGGATTCATAATAAAGTTTCTGAAACGTGCTCTGATCGTAAAGTTTCTGAACCGTTCTCTAATCGAGTTAAAAAAAGTCATTTCCGTATACTGTACTTGAACTACTCACATAGATTGTTTACATATAGTTTATTATTTCATGCCCAAGAACAAGTTTGCAAATCGGTGCGAAGTATATTTGTCAAATTGTTGTTATTTAATTGTATAAAATTACACTACAATTTTCACACGAAATCACATCCCATTTAATCCCTCCTCTTAACTTGATATTCCACATGTCAAGAAAATTACTAATTAAACTTACTGATTAGTAAAATTTGTGTCTTTATTGTTGTTGCTTTTATAGTTGTTGTTTTTAATTATTTATTCACTTTTTATATTGCAGTAAATTTTGTTCTCCAGTTACTGATATTTTTGTTGAAGTTCTCTGGATATAAAAAAGTTACTTCTATTTTTTATGATGATATATGTTCATTACCTATATGCTCTCCTGCAGGTTACTTCTATGAATGAACAGGTTACTTCTAACAATGAAATTGATTGATCAGACAATGTTTATTAATAAGGTTTCCATTTTTTTTTACAGGAAAGTGGGGAATATAAGAAATGGAATTGTTTTTGCCAAGTATCCTAGGCAGCTTAATCCCAGGGTTAATAGATCAAGTTTGGCATCTTGTGATGGAGAGGTACTGTACATGTCAAGTTTGATATGGAATTATAGACAGCTTAGCCAAGTCATAGGTTTTCTTGCTTAAGGAGACTCCCTGCATGTTAGCACCAATCCTAGGACCAATTCGTAACTCTTGACGTTAATATGGCAACAAACTGAATATTACATGAAGATGCATAAATTCTTTATTTGGAATGATAAACACATGGTTAGCCAGGAGTCTTGATATATGGCTGAGTTTGCGGAATTAGGTAGCCTATACACCCTCCATAGCTATAAGAGATCGGTCATTAATAATGGGCCGGGGGCGGTGGGTTAGAAGAGGCTTCAACTATTTTCCCCTGAATTGGGGGCGGCCTCAAACTGAAAAATATGTGAAAAGGGGCGACCCCAATTTTCCCAATTTTTCCGCTTACCTATTTTCAATCTCTCGCCTTTATCGTATCCCACAAAATATTTCACTTGGTTCCTATAATCGTAGTTTCCATAGTTTATTACTTATATGCAGTTCACCATGGGAGTCGGAGTAAATAACAGCCATTTTGAATACTGGTCCTCTAATTATTTAGGGTACACAATGTCTTTACACCAATACTTGTCCCATTACCTATTTTACACCAAAAACTATAACGAATTAAATGTTGGGGGAGGGGGCTAAATTTTCTAGATGAAGGTGGGGGCGTCTTGAAAATAAAGGTCTTTCGATTAGGGAGGGGCACTGAAAAATGTTCAATTAACATATTGCTTTAAAATACAACGTGTATCAACGTGCAATCTCAACAATCGGTTATAGACAATCGGAAATATAGATAATTTCTATCGATTCCGATTGTCTACCGATAAGGCAAAAATGGGTCCGATACCGATTATCGGTAACTATGGTTAATCACTACATAAAGTACATGTTTCTGAAAGGTATTCTTTCAGTAACCTGAAACCCAGAGCCTGAAACCACGAGTTAGAACAAGAAAGACGACAAATGCGTACACAAACACTGGAATCGACTCATTAATTAGGCTTAGTTCCATCAGTCTAATACTTTTTCATGCCGAAACATGTCAAGACATGTTGTGCCGATGGCTTATTTACGGTTTTGAATACCTTGGGCTTGGAAAGGTCATATGGTACCAGCAAATTGTAAGTACGCAGATAGCGAGAGTTCTGCGTACCTATACGTGGTACTTGGCTGAAAACAAAGGAGTACCAGATCGTAATATTGGCGTACCTCCGATACGTAAGTACTCAAATTATCGCACCCTGAATTGTTTATCCGTTGAAGTTAAATTATAATTTAGCATTCAAAATTCGTATCCAATAATGTCAGTATAAATAAATTAATTGATTTATGTTTATCAATATCATACGAACTTAAGGTTACAGGACACCCTTTTTGGTGTTTTGCGGAAAATCGCTACTGCGCGCTGAATATCAGTCCGATTTTAATCAAATTTTCACCAAATGTTCGTCAGTGCATGCAAAATATGGTAAAGTTGTAAAATTAACAAACAATAAAATAATGTATAAGTATTCAGGAAAATCTTAAATCGCGGTACCGTTACGCTTTTGAGTTGTGCTCCTGCTGGTTTTAAGTTATATTTATGAAAATATCATTTTTATACAGTTTGATTGATTGATTTGATTGACATCTTTATTTAAAACACGAGGTCCATTTCACAGGTTATGTTATGTGCTCTTCAATGGAGACGTGTACCTATACTAGTCGACTAATTACTAATAAAAAAGTATCAAACTATTTACAAAAGTAACAAACTACACATGCAAAGAAACTAATATAAGAGAAATATTAAGATATTTTAGATTTAAACTCAGCGAGAGATTGAACTCTAGTGAGTTCGACGGGTATGTCATTCCATAGGGTAGCTCCTCTGTAGGAAAAACTTTTCTTCAAGGATTCCGTTAAGGGTCTTGGTACAAAAAGTTTATGATTAGATCCACGCAAACTATGTTCGTGTATCATTGACGTGGAAGTAAATTTTCCAGACAAATAACTAGGAACCATATTATTAACAGTTTTGTACATAAAAGTTTTGAACTGTTGGGTACGTCTGGTTTCAAGGTTGGTCCAATTCAATGATGTTAAAATGTCTGATGACCGGATGTTATAATCAGATTCAGTAATAATTCTTGCGGCCCTATTCTGTAATCGCTGTAACCTTTGTCCAAGACCCTTACCTAGGCTATCCCAGACAATACTACAATAATCAAAGTAAGGCTGTGCTAAAGAGTTATAGATCATGACAAGAGTTGACTGTGGGAGCAATGGTTTTAGTCTTCGTAGAACTCCAATCACCTTGGAGACTTTGGAGATTATAGTAGAAACATGATGCTCCCATGTCAAACTCTCGTCCAGTTTTAAACCTAAACACTTATAAGATCTAACTCTTTCAATTTTGTTTCCGGCGATAGCAATATTAGGTTCTTCAGGAATAGTACTTAATTTTTGCCTGGATGCCATAAACATACATTTAGTTTTAACCGCATTCAGGCTTAGTTTATTCTGGTTAAGCCAGTTTTGGAGAGTTTTAAGGTCGTCATTTAGAACAGAAATCAACTTGTCAGGGTTGCTGTCCGCAAAAGTCAAGTTGGTATCATCAGCGAATAAACGCCCATCTGATACCAATTCACTATTAGGTAGGTCGTTTATATATATTAAAAACAGTAGTGGACCTAAGATAGATCCCTGAGGAACTCCACAGGTTACTTTACGAGTATCAGATCGTATGTTGTTAATAACTGTTATTTGAGTACGATCAGAAAGATAGTTTCTAAAAAGATCAATCGCTTCTTTGTTGAAACCGTAACAAGCTAACTTCTGTAGTAAAATGTTATGATCAATGGTATCAAAAGCCTTTTTTAAATCAATGAATAAGACAGCATTTATTAACCCACTGTCCATGTTAGTGTACCATTTATCAGTGACATCAAGCATAGCTGTTAACGTTGAGTGAAGAGGTCTAAATCCTGACTGTATGTCAGATAAAAGGTTGTTTTTGTTTAAAAAGGTATATGCTTGGTCAAAGACAACTTTTTCAAAAATTTTTGAAACTACTGGAAGGACTGAAATAGGCCTATAATTATTCAAATCTAGTTTTGAATCATGTTTATAAATTGCTGATACCCTGGCACACTTCCAGTCAGCGGGAATAATTCCCTTGCGAATTACTAGATTAATAATGTGAGTAAGTGAAACCACAGTAGTGAAATTAATTAGTTTTAATAAACGAACAGGAATGTTATCAAGACCGCTAGCCTTAGAAGTCGATAATTTATAAATTAGTCCATCTATTTGAGATGGAGTAACTTCATGTAATTCAAAAACTTCATTACATTGCGGAATGTTAGAAGAGGCCGCACCAGTTGTTGGAATTTGTGCTGCTAATTTAGGTCCGATTTCAGTGAAGTGCTTATTAAAAACATTGCTAATAGTTACTGGGTCAGTAATTTCGATTTCATCTTGCAAGATTTTTGGTATAGTAGTTGAATTTTTAGATTTAGAAAGAAGACTGTTGATACCATTCCAAGTTTCTTTAGTTCGACCTACGTTGAGTTGAAACAGAGAATTATAATATTGCTTTTTACTATCTCTAATTTTATAGTTAACTAGATTTTTAGCTGTTTTGAAATTGACCCAATCATTTTCATCATTAGTATAAACTGCTTTACGCTTCAATCGATCTCGTTCCCATATTAATTTCTTGATATCTACAGAGAGCCATGGGGCACAGTAAAATAGTTGTTCTAAAAAATCGTGTTCGGAAATTTTTGTTTATTTCGTCATTCCGCTGATATGGCGATTTCTTTGACGACTGCAATATATTTCTGAATTGTTTGAGTGAATTGCTCTTTATTATTAAAATATCCAAAATTAAAAAAAAGCTGAACACAATTTTGAAACTGTTAGTTTGAAACTGTTAGTTTGAATCAGTTTGAATATGTTAGAAGAGTTCCTTGGCAATCTATTTGTAATTGAATGTTTCAGTGAGAACCCGCTAAATCATTCCCTGCAAAGCGGTTGAAATAGTTCCATGTTTTTGTTGCTATTTTTAGAGCGACAACTGGTCACGTGACACGTTTTTAAAAATTTTGGGTCGGTTAAATTAAAAAAAATCTAAAATTATGTTGAGTAGCATTAACGCCCAAAACCCTGTCAATTCATCTTAAAATCGTTGTAAATAATTTTTCTTTTATTTTTCATGAATTAATGCTCACTGTGAAACCTGACCCAGTCATTAACGCACCTGACTAAGAGCTCCTGACTAAAATCCGCGATCCGAGCCAAAATATTAGATAAATCCGCAATCTGCTGTATTAATAAGATCTGAAATCCGTGTAAAACATTCGCCAGATCCGAAATCTGGACAATTTTTTCTGTGAAATCCGATCAGTGATCCGAAAACCTATTCACCAATCTATAACACATTTCCAAAAACATTTACTAAAATATGACAACAACAATTTATATCATGTACTATAGTCTATACATTTCAGTCGTCTTATTACTGTACATTGTGATTCCCATAGTATCACTAGTTGTGAAATATTCATGAACAATTAATGAGCTTTGCATCATATCCAACCAAATCAACAACTCGAACAAACAACTCGTTTGAAAATAAGTAATTACCGTACAATTCTTCTGGAGAAAATTGAATTTGAATATTACATTTTCAATGTTTTTCTTATTGCAGCGAAATGTATTTTATTAAATAACTCTGCGAATTTTCAACATTTTTCGTTGAAACTTGGTCAGATAGTAGAACTAAATTAACACTCGAAGGTGTTCTGTAACCGTAACAGTAAAGAGAAATCAGAAATTATAACACTTTCACATAAGCGTTTGATTATTTAGATTTGGGTTGACATTCAAACGTTAATTATTTGCGTTTAAATTAATGTTTTATACATGTAAAGAAACTTTTGAACAGCCCACGAAATTTTACCATTCAAACAAATGCATGTCGTTCTCTATTATAGGCTTTAACTTTTTTCTTATACCTATATTATTATCAATATTCGACAAATGTCTTTTCGTAGCTGGATTCTCCATGCTTTAAAATAAATTTAAATTTTAAATTTCCCTCCGTTCCGGATATTTTGTACCCTGGAGCCAGAGGGTATTTATTTTCGCCTGTTTTGAATAACCCTCTGGTGAAATTGGCGGGGGTTTTCGGGTTCATTCCACACATAACTTTCAAAATTGGAAGGAAAGAGAGTAGTAGTGTATGTGGTTTTCGACCCTTATTTTTGGGGCGGCGCGGGGCGGCGTGGGGCGGCGCATCATCATTAGCATACGTCATAATTACATGCAATGACGTCACGCGGGTAGGATCAGGTAAGTAATGACGTCACGCGGGCGAGCTTAAACACGATCGGGCGAAACTTGCTGACTACGCATTTTTTAGCGTCCCCCACGTTTATGATACAATTGAGGGATTAATGTTGGCCTACTATGAACTTTTATACAAGTATCTGTATAAAATCGACAAGCGTCTTGTAGCAGGCATAGTTCTGTATTTGTTCCACATCAGTCATGACGTGTCTACATGGTAAAACCACATCTTACAATTTATTGGAAGGAATATTTGCGAATGCAGTCGCACAAGAAGTTGAAAGACTTTGTGTGGAATCCTGTAATGGTTGTCAAGTCGGTCATCCTAGTCAAAGACAACATGACTGCCTCATGATGAACGAAAACGAACGATGGCAAATGTATGGTTTACAAGCGATCGAACGAGTGAATGGTAAGCGTATGGTTTGGAATGAATTCGCTGAGGCAATGAGGGTACTAAAACTGGCGGTTGATAGAGATGTACTCGAACATTTACAGCAACTGGAAAAAGATCCAGATTCTACGTTTGTCGATTCATTGATGGAATTACATCAGAACACTGAGAACCACGAACTACAATGTATACTGAACTATTTGTTTCATTGGAGATTAGAAGACCCACTCGAGTCCGTAGCTGAAGCGTT